CGACTATGCAAATGGCATAAATTTAAAGGCAATACTTTGGAAGGTCCCTCAACGGGCCACTTGATATTGACCATGGCTGCACCTTTCTAGTTTACACGTCGTCTTCTTGCAGGTCTCGTCTTAGTGCCAATCATACATTTTATTAACTTTTATAAACAAAAAATTACTAAAATTTAATTTTAAAAAATGGGACTTAGTCACTTCCTCATTCAACAATTGATATCAATCATATTAATTAAGTTTAAATTTCTAAAAATGTTAAATTACCAAAATTCATTCTATAATATACAACCTTTGCATTGGGTAGTCACTTTAAATATTGCATTTATGAAAAATACGGAATTTGCGACGTTTCTTGATTTGTTTGGTTTAGTGAATTTCAATTTATTTAAAATATAAAAATTTCCTTTTAATTAAATGCCTTTCTGTCTCATCAAATACATTACTTCAGTCCATTAGCCCAATCCCTTCCTAATTCTACGCTTATTCTGAAATTGGAAAAATCTCCAGCAATACCATAATTACATAAATTGTAACCAGCCCCAATTTGATTTAGATAAAAATTAAATACAGCAATACTAGTTAGTTTCAAGATATTTATTTTTAAATAAAATTGGTTATACAAACATCCATGATCCATGACTTTTCTTAGTATGGCCCGGAATCAGTTGGGCCTTTTAATGGGCTGCTTGACAATGCCTAATGGAATAAAGAGCCCATATGGGGAGACGACGTCAGCGTTACAGAAGGAAACAGATGGAAGGGTATATTAAAACAAGAAGCATGCAAGAACAGAAGTAGGGATTAGATGTTACACAAATGAAAACATAGGTTTCAAGATGCACAAAATAGAAAAAATAATAGACGAACCAAAGTCAATCTTAACAATTCAATACTGATCAAGAGATCAACCAGATTTCTCCTCACTCTACATCGTTCCAAATTACAAATTATTGATCACTAATGAAACATCACAACCTCCTCATTCTAAAATAACCACTCAGAAAATCACTTAGATTTTCAGTGAAAAATGAAAAAAGAAAAGAGAAGAGACGAAGAACATAAAGATCGAAAGAGAATTCAGCCGTGCACTTACAGTGTGTAAACTGTGAGAATTAGACATGACACACACATGAAGCCTTCATCTGGCAATCGTAATAGTGCCACGTGCAAGGCCAAGATAAAATCTCAAGCTTTAGAGGAAGGATTATGCTACTTGTATATAAAAATGGTGTATAAAGAATGACATAAAATGATGTGGATGAAAAAAATTGGATAAAATAGTTGACTGTATTTTAAATTGACAAATGATAAAGTGACATTTGCATTTATATAAATTATGTAAAATTTGATGCACATGTAGCAAGGTCCTTCAAAGAAAGTGTGTTTCACCAAACGTGATTCCAGTCAATATTGAATCCATATCGATAAACGAATTCGTAGATTCAATTCCTACTGAATGCACGTCAATGGGACCCTCTGAATCATTTAGTCCCACCAGAGTTCTACATGATAATTAAGATGTTGAGTGCTTTTGTTTTGACAACATGGTAGTGGAGGTCCTCAATTTTTTCCGTAATACATTTGCAATACTAACATTAAAAAATGTTTGTGCCTCTAACTAATGCATGGACATTTCATTACTAAAAAACATGACTTCAGGTACGAATTTTCCTTTCCTGAAATCTCGATATTCGATGCTATTACTTTTTATCAACGAAATATTTGCAACAGCAAATCCATTACTAATTTGAGCGTCGCTGATAGTTACCAACGGATCTTGTTGTAAGTAAAGAGTAAACATTTTACGAACGAATTTTTCGTTGATGAAGTGTGAATCTTTTACCAACAAAAATTTTGTTAGTAAAAATCTTAACAAATATTAACCGATTTTTCGTTGGTAAATATCTACCATTGCAATTGGTAAAAAGGTTCTTTAGTATATTTATAGTTATTATTGTTTCGAATCTTGACAAAATTCATTATTTCAATTTATAGAGTCCAATATACTTAAACATGCCAACAGTCTTACTAAAGATAATTTAGTTACCAATATACAGGCTATTGAAAACGAATATCAAATAAAAAAGAGTTGGACAAAATCAATTCTATTTATTTTATCAAATTAACTAGCACAAAAAATTATCATGATTTTTGCAATTTTTTTTCATAACTTCTCTACCCCACTATGGTTTCTCTTCCACTGTGAATGCGCGACTATGCAAATGGCATAAATTTAAAGGCAATACTTTGTAAGGTCCCTCAACGGACCACTTGATATTGACCATGGCTGCACCTTTCTAGTTTACACGTCGTCTTCTTGCAGGTCTCGTCTTAGTGCCAATCATACATTTTATTAACTTTTATAAACAAAAAATTACTAAAATTTAATTTTAAAAAATGGGACTTAGTCACTTCCTCATTCAACAATTGATATCAATCATATTAATTAAGTTTAAATTTCTAAAAATGTTAAATTACCAAAATTCATTCTATAATATACAACCTTTGCATTGGGTAGTCACTTTAAATATTGCATTTATGAAAAATACGGAATTTGCGACGTTTCTTGATTTGTTTGGTTTAGTGAATTTCAATTTATTTAAAATATAAAAATTTCCTTTTAATTAAATGCCTTTCTGTCTCATCAAATACATTACTTCAGTTCATTAGCCCAATCCCTTCCTTATTCTACGCTTATTCTGAAATTGGAAAAATCTCCAGCAATACCATAATTACATAAATTGTAACCAGCCCCAATTTGATTTAGATAAAAATTAAATACAGCAATACTAGTTAGTTTCAAGATATTTATTTTTAAATAAAATTGGTTATACAAACATCCATGATCCATGACTTTTCTTAGTATGGCCCGGAATCAGTTGGGCCTTTTAATGGGCTGCTTGACAATGCCTAATGGAATAAAGAGCCCATATGGGGAGACGACGTCAGCGTTACAGAAGGAAACAGATGGAAGGGTATATTAAAACAAGAAGCATGCAAGAACAGAAGTAGGGATTAGATGTTACACAAATGAAAACATAGGTTTCAAGATGCACAAAATAGAAAAAA